CCAATCTTTTTTTTTTTTTTTTTTTTTTTTTTTTTTTTTTTTTACATTTTATTGATTGTTTACAGAGAGGAAGGGATAGGGACAGAGAGTTAGAAACTGATCAGCTGCCTCCTGCACACCCCCTACTGGGGATGTGCCCGCAACCAAGGTACATGCCCTTGACTGGAACCGAACCTGGGCTCCTTCAGTCCGCAGGTAGGGCTCCCAACTCTTTACTGTCATAAAATCCCAAACTAAAGCTTGCTCTATAACAGCAATCAAAACTTGGAAAGCGAACAATAATCAAAACGTGGAAAGTTAACTGAGGAATCGGAAATAGTACTGGCAGACAGGGTCAGCACAGATGCCCCAGGTGAGTGGACACCGTTAGGCAAAAATCGAATGGTGCTGGGGGACCGGAGGGTGGAGGGGGTGGGATGCGGTGAGGGGTGAAGTGACCGAGAGGGCGTCCCTGAGCTGCTCCTGCTCTGTAGGGAGGTGCCCTGCTCTAACCACTACCCGGCCCAGCCCGGTTAATCATTTCCTGACCTTCCTCCTTTCGTCCTGCCCGCAGGATTGCCACATCCTCCTCCTCCTCCTCCTGCTCGCTTCCTGGCCTTGCTGTTCCTTCGCCGGGTTTTACAAGAAGCTCCAACTTCGAATCAGTATTTGTAATAGCCCCAAAGGTCCTCAAGGCCCTGTCCCAGAGAGATTGCAGGCTCGCCTGGGTGTAACGCCTGCTCAAAAGGCCCCTTGCAGCTTTCCCTATTCACTTTTGACGAAGAGGTCAGCATCGAGGATCCTAGCCCCTCACCCCGCTCCCGCACGCCTTAACCAATTACAGGCAGAATCAGTCCCCCCCCTACCCCCTCCCCGCAGGAAAAAAAAGAGTGTGTGTGTGTGTGTGTGTGTGTGTGTGTGCGCGCGCGCTAACTGCAGCTTGCAGGGTGGAGCGAGGCTTAAATGGGTATTGTGTGGCAAGTGCCTGGTTGGGAGACAGTAGTAGGTGTTTAACAAAAGTTAGATACCTTGTCTTTTTATCGGCTGGCTACCAGGACCTCGCGGTCAGCAAGCCTGGTTAGGCATCTCTCAAACGCCCAGTGTAGGGTGAGGTATGGAAGTCCTACCACGTGCTTGAGGTAATGCACAAGGTGAGTCACAACGACAGGGGTTGAACTCAGATTCGTGGGCGCCCCAGCGGGTCCGGTCACGCAGCACCCTCGTGACTGGCTCAGGCCACGTGTTCAGAACCTAGAACCTGGTCAGCATCGCACCTGCCGCCAGGAGAACACTCAATACTGCTCTGCAGCCCGCTGCGGGGAGGCGGCAGGCTCTTAACCTGAGCTTGTGTCGTCTTGTGTAACATGGGGGCTATAGTGCGAGTGGGCCCGAGTGGTTTTATTTTCTCCTTCACTTTCTTTTTTTTCTTTTTTCTTTTTTGTCTCTTTCACACTTTCTTGTATGGCCAGATTTTCTACCACGGTGTAGTCAGACCACCGCACACCACGCAGGATCAGTCTTGTGAGTGCGAATGCTCGCTGGCCGCGGTTAACACCGTGGACCGGACCTCCTGGAGCCCAGGGGCTGGGGGAAGCCGCGGCCGCCCCGGGCGGCAGAGTTGAGAAAGTCATTTAGGAGCACAGCTTGACTCCGGGACACCCGCGGGGGAGCTCCGGTGCTGCAGGACCCCACCCCGCGGAGTGGCCGGGGGCGGAG